AGAAAGTCCTGGCAATCAAATCTGAGATCTCTCTGACAGGTCGCTCATTCTCCTTAAAGTGGAAGAATCACCGGCCTCCGATCCTAAAGTCAGGTTCTAGCATGACCTTAAATCGGTCAACCCCCCTTTAGATAGGTAACCGCCAGCAATCAGCCATAACCATACACAGCTTATATATAATCGGACAAAAGCCTAACTTGTCAATAAATCAGATTTCGCGCCTTCTCAAAGTCGTACTTAACTCCCAAGAAGAGAGGGATGCCATGGTAAGCAACTCCCAAATTCTTAAAGGATCATTCATTTACGTCGGTGTGGAATTATGCCTGACAAACCGCGTCATAAGGTAGTTTTCAGCGCTGGAATTAAGCAGACGTCGCTGAAATGGCGAAAATCCTTAAGACATAGGGTTTTGGGTTGTCGGAGTTCGAATTTTGATGGTCCCAGAACCTCTGTGGGTGTGCCACGAAAGCGCCAAACCGAATTGACAATATGCTTCATAAATGACCGCAGCCTGTTGAACAAACGGACTGAGCTGAGTAATATGATAGACTCCGGAAATCCGGATGTAATTATCACACAGAGACGTGGCTCACACCCGGTGTCAATGATAATGAAGCTATCCTGTCAAACTTCGAAGTACATAGGGTGGACCGATTAAACCGCAAAGAAGATGGCGTAGTCACCTACCTCAAAAAATGCTTAACCGCCCATGCACTCGCCCACGAAAGTGAGTCGTGCGAACTTCTACGCTGCAGACTTAAATGCATATGCCAAGATATTGACCTCATTGCTGTGTACCGCAGTCCTGACTGCAGTGCAGATGACTTCATAATAGAGAGGCTAGGCTCCTGGACTTCAAAATGTCGAAGTCTCGTAGACGGCAACTCCAACGCCCCTATAGTTGACTGGACGAGCCCTGCAACTCCACCTTCAGTCAACTCCCTTGCTCATAAACTGCTGGAATCTAGCATATCGCTAGCCCTAGTCCAACATATCATTAAGCCCACGTGCTATGGCTCACAGCACTCCTCGTCAACTCTGGACCTAGTGTTCTCCCATGTTGAGGATGTGGTTCTCGTACAACATCCTACTCCTTTAGGAAGAAGTGACCATGCTGTGCTCACTTTCAAGTTTACAGCAACAGTATCAAGGGCAAAAACCCCAGCTCGACCAAACGTTCGGAAGGCTGATATAAATGCGATTGTCTCAGCAGCCAACTCAGTGAACTGCCACATCAACCCAGAGTCTCAGGCAGAGGCTACATAGAACCATTTTAAACAACTTTACGTCCAAGTAACTTTACCTTTCGTTCCTTGGTCTGTCCCAGAGGGTCGGAAACATTACGTCCCCCTCAGATATAGATACAGATGCTGGAAAATGTCTATCAAGCTTGGAACTCCTGAGACCAGGAAATTTTATAACACTACTAGGAGTAAAGCTATTGCAGTAATCCACCAATCAAGGATGAATTTCGAAGCACATCTGGCTCAAAATGCAAAGGCACAACCTAAGAAAATTTTCTCGTACATGAACTTCAGGAATAAAACTCCATTGGTGTCCCGAACCTTATTGTTGACGATGACACAACCAAGGGAGACCGAGAAAAGAGAGACGCAATGGCAGACCACTTCGAACAAGTGTTTACATAGGAGTCGTTACTCCCCATAAGATCAGCTTTGGCTGCATCAGAGGAGCACGGGCTAGATTCTGTTGATACCCACCAGGATATCATGCTCAATTGCCTAATAATACTAGATGCAGGGAAATCTTTGGGTCCTGATAATCTTCACACATGGCTTATCATCTAGCTATCTGGTCACATAGCCGGCCCATTGACTACTACCTTCAAGCTGTCTCTCCCAAATCGAGCTCTACCACGTGACTGGAAAGACGCCATAGCAACCCCTATCCAAATTACAGGCCTGTTAGTCTCGCCAACGCTTTAATCAAGACACTGGAAAGAATCATCAAGAAAGGCACCATGGCATATCTGTAAACGACAATTTGCTATCTAGAGCAAGCAAGGCAAAGTTTCCGAGGAAACCCCACATGCCTGTCAAATTTCCTCACTGCAAGAGAAAGCTGAGTCAAATCAAGGGACAACAGAAGACCCGTTGATTTCGTCTTCATAGACTTCAGCAAAGCCTTTCATAAAGTTCCTTACAAAAGACCGCTCGAGAAGTTGGAAAGTTTTGACATCAAGAAGGCAGGTTACCAAACTGGCCTAGGGAATTCTTCATAGATAAGGGGAAGACGATTAGGATCATCTCTAGCCTCTCATCCTGGACACCGGTGCGTATTGGAGTGCCACAAGGCACGGTACTCGGACCTCTCATATTTATTTTGTATATCAATGAGTTATCTTTGCTCACCGACTCCCCTATGGCTCCATGCGCAGATGAATTAAAAATTTGGAGAAGGGAAACAGTGATACGTCCACGTTGCAAGACGACCTCAACAAACTGTCCGAGTGGTCCAGAGAATGGATGCTCCCGATCAATGTGGCAAAATGTGCAACCATGCTCATTGGACAATCAAGCACGAGCTCCTACGAACTAGAGGGAATAACACTTCCATCAGTTCAGACTCACTTGGACTTGAGTGTCATAGTTAGCCACGACTTAAAAACTACAGCATACTGTCGCGCGGTGGCTGCACGTAGTTTCAGCCCCTTATGGGCAATTCGCACAGCCTTTACTAGAATCACCAGAGATATTTTTACCTTCTCATGTACATCTCTCGTGAGGTCAAGACTGGAAAACTGCATCCAGGCCGCCAGTCCTTGTCTAAAAGGGGACTCACATATTCTAGAAAGGATTCAAAGGAATGCAACATGTATGGTTCACGGCATGACTAGCTTGTCATACGAGGAAAGACTAGACAGTTTAAATCTCTTCTTCCTGTTATACCACAGGCGGAGGGGGGATCTAATCACAATGTTTGAAACTTTAAATAATGACCACAGACCTGGCCTATTTTCTCTTTTTCTTCCCAACAGATCAAAATACCTCAGTGAAATAGCAGGAGAGTTTGAAATCCAAGAAGAAATCGCATCGCTGTTGAGTACTGGTTGTCTTACGGAGTCGTAAACTCTTGGAACCGACTCTCAGAAGAAGTGGTGTCTGCAACTGCAACTGGTTCATTCATGATGGGTTTGGGAAAGCACGCAAATTTATTGAAAAAGGATTGACATAGGCTACAAGCCCTCTATTCTCAACCAATAAATAAATCTGAAACAATTTCTTTATAACCCGGTGGATATTTCTGGCTATTTACCTACTATCTGTCACATTGCTCTGAAGAATCCATCGTGTTTGAGGAAGTCACTGAGCTCCACAAATACTAGTTCTCGATATCTGAAAGATGCAGTTGCTACAAGCAGATATGGAAGGTTACTTCGCACAATTATTCCTATGATATGAGACAAAATAGTGGGCATAGTTGAGGTAGGGGTAGTTTATGCAACTCAAGGAGGTCAGTAGGTTAGGTTGAGTAGTTTCTCTAGCTGAGATGTATGCAAGATTAGATGGGAAAATTTAGCATCGTCTTCACACACAAGCACGGCTGGTCACTGTGGCGTTCATTTGGAAGAAAGTCTGAATGGTTAAACTTCAACGTATATTTGATACATGTCATAGCTGAACGATTACCTGAACCATGTAGGTAGATATCAATAAAAATTTGGTGATACCACCTTAAGTCTAACAATACGACATTTAACTGTTGACTGGTGTGCATGAGACACTGTGTTTCATATGTTCTTTTTATAACAGTTCTGTTAAATGTCACTTTTAGTTTAATTTTCCCCGCGATCCTTAAACTTCATTGCTTTCTCTTTCTGTGCTTTGATAAGCGCATTAAGTGGAATCATGGCCGCACGTTGTCAAGTGTTCTGCTTGAGACTTATCCTCCGGGACATCAGTTGAATGAATGACGTACATTTTCGGAAATTAAATGAGCGAAGTTTCAGTCAGCATTTGCCACTGAAACTATTAATTCAGCTTCAGAAATCGTAAAGCATTCATGCGTGACTAGCCGAGCAGTATCAAAGATTGGAACGAGTCAAAAAGGTACCTGGCTAATTAGACATCTTAGTTTCATGAAAGTAACCTTCCGACTCTCGAATTTCATTGACTTGTGAACATTTCCGGGAAAAAAGTAACCAACATGAATAAAAGGGTCATACTTTAAAAACGTATGGGTTACGTTTGGAGCTACGAAAAGTAAGCTTGATAATCAGTCGAGAAAACAGTTCAACTAATCACCTTAACAATATACAGCAACTCTCTAACCAAAGCGTTCCATCCCATTCGCACATACATTCGGGAGTATCTAACTTCATCCTAGATGGTTATAAGCTACCTGAAGTCCTGCCGTATTCAATACCTTATAAACCATATCTTCTAACTTTGTGTTCCATGAAGAGTCAACAGGGATGTCGGAGATCTTTAGTAGGACACCTTTAAGCTTTTGTCATAGGTTCTTCGTCTCTCACAGTGCTGTTCACATGGGATGGCTTTGTCCTTCTGGTACTGTAGCACATATACAGGCTTTCGCACTAAGTTAAAATCTTATGTCACGCTGTCAAAATTACCCTAAATGATGTCCTAACTTGCAAACAAAACATCTAGTCTCGATGAAAGCTAGCAAGGCTATGAAACACCATCAAAAAGGATATACATCCAAAAATGATGACTACTACCGCAAAGAAAGTCGATTCAGAACCTGTTATTCATTACTTGATGAGGAGCAGTAGAAATGCGTTTAACATGAATAATAAGAATATGAGGATGACTTCTCGCTGACCTATGTGTTCTTAATTACTGAGTAATTTGCTAGGTAAGAATTCAACGTAAAAACACTGCTAATTAGGACTAAAAGTAGTAAACAATGGGCATGAAGTCATACTTTTCCTTAATTCACATCACAAATGAGCAAAAAATGAGGATAAATAGTCGAAATCTCACTCTAAATCCTTAAAATGAGTAAAAATGGCTTACCAGGTTTGTCATCTGTCTTCAGTTCCTTCAAGCGAGTACCCATGGGATATGCAGGTATTCCGGGAAAAACAACTTTTTTAGCTGGTTGGACATCATAATCAGCTGGACCTGGTCTTTGGCCTAATTTCAGAGGCTTTTGTATGCCAGTAATGGTATACTTCGGAGAATAGGCTTCACCGGTGTTCGACAGTTTAGAGTTTTGAGCATATGCAGCCGGCCCCGGACTTCTTTCCACAGTAAGTTCCTCCAGTGGCTTACCTAGGCTATAGGCAGGGGCTTTTGGATGGGTGCTGCGTGTGTCATGATTTTTTTCTCCAATGAGTGTAGGCAACATGTAAATAGGTCCTGGACTTGTATACATAGCACCAATAGGAACACGGGGTTTAGTGTATTTATAGCCCAGATCTGTCATGATTAAATCCTCAACAAAACCTGTTAAATGATTCCAACTCAGAACTAAAGATGAAATAGTTTAAAGAAGTCAATCAATTGATCCTAAATTTTTGAATCGACTAATCAATAGATCGTCTAATTTAGATTTCAAGGTCATCATGGGCGAGAGCTTGCCTGCTGTGTTTGTACAAATTTTGGCGAAGTATTCAGATGTTTCACAGTATAGTGGATCGCATACAGAGACGAAATTCAAGGTAAAGGTCATTTTCTTATTTTCGTCTTGAGGAATCAATTGAGACTGCCTGTCAACTGTGTGAAAAGGCGATGGAGATGGTAAATGAGTTGCGTTTGTTCAGCAGCAATGAAAGCCTCGACGATCTAAGTGCTACAGAAATAAGGTACATATTAAGTGAACTTTCTCGACATTTGCGTGTAGGTATTTGTGTCTTCCTGCTCTGCTAGCATATTTCAATACTCATAAAAGTGAAAATCGAGCATGTTGTCTTCGTCTGGCTTTGGTATGATACTTTAATCCTGATTCGTTTGCGCTAGTCCCTTTACAAGGACTTCTCAAATATGTGCACGGAATACAGCGTTCCGTTTCCAGAGGAACTGCGCCTGAAAGAGTAAGTTATTACGATATTTTAAGCTGTGTAAATGTGGCATTTATTTTAGTACGCCAATAAATTCCTTTTTGTTAATAATTTCTGACTCATATTTACTATTGGCGAAATTCTCTTAAGCATCACACATGTATTTACCCATATTCATCAGTGCAATGTTGGCGTAAGTTCTGTTTGTTTTCGATGTCGAACTTTGCACCGATGTGCTGCAGTTCAAGTCGCCACACTCCATGTGGCATTCAAAACCAGAGAAAAAAATTCGAAGAAATGCATAGGAGAGACAGCAGACAGGGATATAAGACAAAGGGAGTAGTTTTAACAAAGAAGAATATAGTTTTATTGGGTATTATAAGTCACAGGGAGTGCATGCATCTGCGCCAGCCATTGAGAACGATTTTGAGCCATATCACCGATTGTCTCCAGCCTTCATTGGTGTTTACCATTCCGAGGACCCCAACCAGGAAGTATAACCTTCCTACGTGACTGCCTGGCTTAAACTAACTGCTGTGGATTTCAGTGACTAGTGAAGTCATGTTTTGGTTTGACCACCACTGGCTTTTTTCCAACCTGACTCTGTCAGCTAACATTGCCCATTGTCGAGGAAGGCGATGACTAGACATGCATGCGTAACGCATGTCCTAACCATCTCAGTCTTTGTAACTTCACAACCTCATCGATTGATTTCCCCTCCCGCCAACCTAGCACTCGGCCGAAGCCTAACCTCAATATTTCTCACCTTATTATGCCACTTCACATGGGAGATTTAACGCAGGCAACTATGACCACAGACAGCTAGTCTTTTCATGTCTTCCACTCAGTGGCCAGGTCTCACACTATAAAGGAGGACAAAGCGGACTGCTTTGCAGTACATTCGCCCTTTGGTCGATAGCCAGCCTCTACTAAGCCAGAGATGGCGTAAACTGGCATATGCTAAACTAGCCCTCTATATCCGTGCTGAGATTTCGTCAGAGATCAACCCGTTGGCACTGGCTGATACAACTTCCCAAATGAGTGAAGCAGTCAACGTAGCTTAAGTCACAAACGAGGTACATTTCATTTTTGGACATATTGTTACCCTCTGTTTGTCATTGTCTGAAATCAACCTGGCTTTCATTGTCTAATAGCTGAAAGTTTCCTAAAGTCAGGTTGTTCACTGTGTTTTATAGTCTAATCCGAACAATATGAACACAATATGTATATTGCTACCGTGAGCGTGATTCAATGGTAATATTGTGTACAATTCATGCTTCTGTAACCCTTTTTCTCAGATCACTCCACCTATTGTTTTTATTGATTTTTAGTTTGTTTGCCTCTTTATATTATCTGAATCATGGGCACCAACAGCAGGTATCCACCTTGTCATTGGCACTGCTTAAACTAGACGATATAGTCCTTCTAGGCGAGGACGCTGAAAAAATGCAGTCTTCTAAACACCTTGAGCTGCAATCTACGAATGTTTGGCATGCGATTCGATCCCGCCAAATGCAAGATGATATTAAAGGAATGGACTACACCGACTCCTAGATTAGAAATAGGGAGTGAACTGGTAGAGCTGTCTGTCTGTCTGGATTCAACATAGAACTTGGCACCGAAGTGCAGCAGTTCGAGTTGCCACGTTCCAAATAGCACACAGAGGTAGACAAGAAGATGAGTGAAGAGAATCAATAGAGTTTGACAAATATAAGAGTGAAACAGAATGGGTAATGGTAGAAAGGAATATGAAAGATTACAGAGACTGAATACATCTGGCTGGCCATTGACAACGATTTTGAGCCATGTCACCTATTGTCTCCAGCCATTGATTCCTAGAGTCCCGAGGGCCCCAACCCGGGAGTCTGCATCTCCCTACCTGACTCAGTTTAACTGTCAAGGATTTCATGGATTGATGAGGCCATGTTTTTGTTTGGCCACCACTGGCTCTTTTCCAACCTGAACCTATATCAGCTAGCAATGCCCGTCGGGGGAGGCGGTGGTTAGGCATGCGCAGCACGTGACCTAGCCATCTTAGTCTATGTAACTTTATAGCCTCGTCGATTGATTTTCCCTCTTTGCCCAACACTCTACGCCTAACGTCAACATTACTTATCTTGTGAAACCACCTAACGTGAGACAGAGATCGCAGACATCTATGATCGAAAGCAGTCAACCTTTTCATGTCTTCAACGCGTATTGGCCATGTTTCAGAGCCATAGAGAAGGACGGAGCGAACTGATGAGCAGTACACACGTCCCTTGGTTGATAACCGGATGTCACGCCTACGCCAGAGATGGTGTAAGTCAGCGAAAGCAGCTCGAGCTTTTCGGATCCGTGCTGAGATTTCATCGCCAATCAGTCCGTTGGTGCTAATACAACTTCCCAAATAGGTGAAGTGGTCAACATGTTCTATCACTTCACTCCCTATCACTAAGTTAGGGGTTGACGTGGTCCAGTCCTGTAGCAGCATCTTACATTTTGCAGGGGCGAATCGCATGCCAAACATACGAAGATTGCTGCTCAAGGTGTTCAGAAGACTCTGCATTTTGTCAGCATCCTCCCCTAACAGGACTATGTCATCTGCATATTCTAAGTCCATAAGACTATTCCCTGGTAACAAGTCGATTCCTAAGTCATTACGTTCAGTTAAGGATACTTCCATTAGCATATCTATGATGAAGTTAAACAGAAATGGGGAAAGTGGACATCCCTGTCGGACACCACTGGTTGTTACCAATTCAGATGACAATTCCCCATAAGCCCTTACACGACTACGTGAGTTTGAATAGAGTGCCTTGATTAGTGCAATGTACTTTCTTGGCACTCCCTTCACAGTCAGACATTGCCATAGTACCTTTCGATCCACGGAGTCGAAGGCCGCCTTCAAGTCAAGAAATATGACAATTGTTGGACGCCGAAAAGTGTGTCTATGTTCTAGAATCTGTCGAAGAGTGAAGATATGATCTATGCACCCTCTACCTGGTCTAAAGCCTGCTTGATTTTCCCTTGTCTGTTCCTCCCGAGTTCTGCTTAGTCTATGCATGATTACTGAGCCTAGGATTTTAGAGACTATGTTCGTTAGGCTGATCCCCCTATGATTATCACACGAGGACTTGTTTCCCTTCTTGAATATCGGTATAATAAGTGACTTACCCCAGTCTGATGGTACTGTCTCTGATTCCCAGACTTTGCCTAGTACCTCAGTTAATCTACAAACTAGTATGTCACCCCCATATTTAAACACCTCCGGAATAATTCCGTCGGGTCCTGCCGCTTTGCCTCGTTTCAAATTACTGATAGCTTTTGTGACCTCACTTACAGACGGCGGACCAGTGTCTATATCCCATTCGGGTGTGTGGTGGATGTCGGGGAGGTTCAGTGTGGCTGTAGGCAAGTTAAATTGTCCTCAAAGTGTTCTTTCCAGCGTTCAAGGCGTCTATCCTGAGAGCTAATTAAGGAGCCATTTTTCTCAGAAATAGTCTCACTTATGAATTGCCTTCTCCCACCCGTTTCTGATGAGTCTAAAGAGTTGCCTAGTGTTGCCTATCGCCGATGCTTTTTCCATCTCTTTTGCCTTTGTCACCCACCACTGTTCACGGTCCTTGCGGAGACTTTTAGTAAGTTTCCTTTTGTGCAGCTTTCGCTCCTCATTGAATTCGGAGCTCGCCGGAATAAGTCTTCTAGCATCTATCAGTTCGGATGAGGCAGTCGAAATCCAGTGGTTTTTACTCACCTTTGGATTTGCCTTATTCACAGCTTTTACAGCTGTATCTATAGCTGACTGAATATTCTTCCAGGCTTCTCCAGGGTGAGCACAGCTGTCGAATTCAGATATGCGTTTAGCTAGTTCTTCCTCAAATAGGGATTTAGTTTCCTGATCGAGCTGGGGACGTGATGGTTTTACCGCCAGCTGTTTCCTACGTCCGTTCAGTCGTAAGCACACACGAGCCCGGACCAGTGCGTGATCGGTATCTACACACGTGTTCCAGAAGGAGCGACAATCTCCTACCGACCCACGCCAACGATAGCTTATTGCTATGTGGTCTATTTGTGTCCAGCGTTGGTTTGATGATGGGGGTCGCCAGGTTAAACAGTGTCTCTCCTTGTGTTTAAAGTTAGTGCTGGTTAGAACTGGTAGAGCACGTCAATCGCTTCACTTATTTGGGAAGTGCCATCAGCCCCAACGGGTTGATCTCTGACGAAATCTCAGCACGAATACAGGGGGCTCGTTGCGCATTTGCCAGTTTACGCCGTCTCTGGCGTAGACGCGATATCCGACTATCGAACAAAGGGCTCCGTCCTCCTTTATGGCTGTGAGTGAGACCTGGCCACTGAGAGTGGAAGACATGAAAAGGTTGGCTAGCTGTCTTTGATCATAGGTGCCTGCGTTCTATCTCCCGTGTGAAGTGGCATAATAAGGTGA